TAAATTCTCAACCGCTTTGTCCGATGAGTGATAGTGTGGATAGTTATTTAGCTTTAACTCCAGGTCTTTTTTTGGTAGGATCTCCTATTTTATCCCCTCCGGAACCATTAATACAAGAATCTCCCTTGCACATACGGTCATCGGTATAGAAAACTTAAGGCGCTTACTCAACAGTTCTGCCTACGGTGGAAAGAAGAGTATTTAAACAGTCTCCATAAACGCTATAAATGGAAACTTCCGCAGCGCGATGTACAAGCGGACGATTTAGTCGTAATTCGACAAGAACAATGATCTCCAACATCGTGGAAATTAGGTCGGATAATCAATGTTTTTTCGTCGTTCGTGTCGCCGACGTAAAAACTGAAAATGACATTGTGCGGCGTCCGGTGGTTAAGCTGGTCGCTTTGACCAATTAGATGTTTGTTTCCTCGCCATTTTTATTTTTTTTTCTCGTAGCATTGAAAATCAAAATAAGGTGGGCCCTAGTAGTCAAATCTGCAATTCGCTGGTCAAATCGTTGCGAATGCACTCCATTCCAGTCGGGTCCGACCGGTTTGCCCAATTCACACTGGTTTCGACTCCGCCCAACGATTGTCGGTATCCGCTCGGGTTACAAATTTAACCCATCGTGTGTCCCAAACCAATCTGCCTAGGAATCGATAAAGGAGCACTACCAAGGTATGATGTTAGCAGATCCGCAATTCTTTAAAGCGTTCCGAGACGCAGTAGAGTTGGGTGCTGAAGTGTACCCTAAAGTAATGAAGACCTAGGTATACTCGAGCCCTGGATTCCCAAGGTCTCAACTTACCATCTTTAGATGGGTCTTGTCGGGTCCATGCCCAATGTGATTTCTTGCTGGGAGACTTTTGCCAGAAGATCTCGCCCGTGCCGTATGACCGACGGTTAGTTAATTTATTGCGCGGCAATGTGCCCCTTGCTCTACGAGCGCAATATTAAAACAAAGAAAAAAAGAATAATTAAATTGAAATTTAAAGTGTAAATAAGAAAAATTGTAAAATGAATTTATATTTTTGTATACTTAATTTGCATTGCAACATAGCAAGATGTTGCAAGGCTGGCCGCAATGTTTACATTAGAATATAATCCTTTTAATGTTCATTCCGTTTTCAAATTTTTAACTCAGGATGTGGTTCCTCCGTTAGCCGTCCCCTCTTCATCGTTGGACGAGATGAGGGATTGGTCTCCTTTGGTTCCACCGAGGTCGCGGCTGATTCGCGTTCCATCTTCTTTGTTCTTCGTGTCCTGCGCTTCTTTGTTTTTGTATCGGTGGAAGCAGCCTGGGCTTCTGTTGGTGGTGCAACAGCTGGCGCTGTTATTAAAACAACTGGACTTCCACACTGCCCTCTTCAGAAGGTTTGTCCCCAACTGGAATCGCCTTCTTGACAAGGTCGTTTAGGAGAGAGGCAAACTCCTTTAAAACGGAACACTTTGGCTATAGCGGATGATTCTTTTTAGAATTTCCGAAAAGCTTTAAGGTTCGCCCTGGTTAGGGTTTTTTTCTCTCAATGACTTGATGACTATGCACGTCGATAGTGAAGCGGCACTGAAAACTCTAAACTCCTCTAGGATATCACTGGAAAACGCTGGGTTGTCCATTAAGTTCTGTTGACTTCCTGGTCATTACAATATTCCAGGCAACGAGACTGCAAACGAATGGGCGAGGCTACGATCCGAATCGACTTCCATTGAAGTTGAGAACTCGGTCAAACCACCCCTGTGTCACTTCCTACAGGTAATTCAAACACTTCAACAAAAAAGGGGATGCAACATCTCCAAAAGAATCTGGCCAACACTCTCGGAGAAGAGAACTGTCATTGTCTAAACCTGACTAAGAACTTGTGGTGGGTATCATCACAGGTCACTGCAAGGTGAGGGCTATGACCTTAAAATGAGACAGCGATGACATTGATTACTGTAGAATATGTCAGGACGAAGAAGAAATTGAGACGATCGAACATCCTGTCTGCCACTGTCCAGCACTCATTGACGTGAAACACAGGTTCGTGGGGGAACAAGTGTCACATGATCTGTCTTCGTTTTCTAACACTGACCCTACAGTAATTCTTCAATTAGCCAGAAGATTTAAGTGGCTAAAGACGACACGGCAAGATCTGCCGTTAATCGTCTCATAACTATATATCAAACCACCAACACCTTACTTTTTATACCATCTACCATAGTATGGAGGGTATATTAAGTTTGTCATTCCGTTTTAACACCTCGAAATATACATTTTCAAATGGAACAGACTGTAAACAGCCCGCCTTCCTCAAAAAACCCTTAGTCTAGAGCGCACAACAGGCCTATACTGGCTTAAGTATATGCCCAACAGGGCATGCGGCGAATTGCTTCGACCCTCTTTTCAACCTAACCTAATAAAGTGTTAGAACGAAGCAGATTCGGTCAGTTATCTTATGGAATAAATGAAACGAATTTATTTATTATAAGTTTACGTCGCATTTAACTGTACAACATATCCAAAAACTTGACCAAATTTATAGACCATCAAATTAATGGTGTTTCAATTGAAGCAGTCAGTTGTTTAATGAGTAAAATTAATTTATTGCATATTTTATCAACATAGTCATAGATTTTTTTTTTTGCTCTGCTTTCGTTTTTATACCCTCCACCATAGTATGGTGGGTATATTAAGTTTGTCATTCCGTTTGTAACACCTCGAAATATACATTTAAGACCCCACAAAGTATATATATTCTTGATCAGCATAAAATGCTATGTCGATTTATGCCCTCTGTGGAAATCACTCTAGCTTCCGAGCGAATTGAAGTAATTTGATAAAAATTTACTCAAATGTGTATTATGTCTATAGTACTTTTGGTATTGAAAATGGGCTATGTAGGGCCACGTCTTCGTATAGCCCCCATATAACGATACCTCCCGATATGCGATATTTTTATGATTTTAGCGACATTATTTACCGGAATCGTTTCAAATTTGGTATTTGAAGTTCGTAATGAATACTACAGTCTATGACAGAAATTTGTCTGTGCAGGTCCACGTCTTTGTATAGCCCCATACAACGATAACCGACATTATTTACCGAAATTGTTTCAAATTTCGTATTTAATTCCCAATTCTTAGGGGACGACTCCATACCAGACCTTAATCAGATCATGGTAAAATGATATAGTTAAGAAATTTCATAAAGGCAAATGAATTTCAAATATAACAGACTGTAAACTGCCCGCCTTCTTCAAAAAACCCTTAATCTAGAGCGCACAACAGGCTTGAGTGTATGCCCAACAGGGCATGCGGCGAATTGCTTTGGCCCTCTTTTCAACCTAACCTAATAAAGTGTTAGAACGAAGCAGATTCGGTCAGTTATCTTATGGAATAAATAAAACGAATTTATTTATTATAAGTTTACGTCGCATTTAGCTGTACAACATACCCAAAAACTTGACCAAATTTATACACCATAAGTTGTTTTATGAGTAAAATTAATTTATTGCATATTTTATCAACAATTGGCCACAAAATTTTTGCTATGCTTTCATTTTTATACCCTTCACCATAGTATGGTGGGTATATTAAGTTTGTCATTCCGTTTGTAACACCTCGAAATATACATTTAAGAACCCACAAAGTATATATATTCTTGATCAGCATAGAATTCTATGTCTTCGATTTTCGAAAACACCCTATAAACATTAAGTATACTTTTGAAGAGTTCTCTACGGTTATCTCGCGTATAGAAGCTTGTTTGAATTCTCAACCGCTTTGTCCGATGAGTGATAGTGTGGATAGTTATTTAGCTTTAACTCCAGGTCTTTTTTTGGTAGGATCTCCTATTTTATCCCCTCCGGAACCATTAATACAAGAATCTCCCTTGCACATACAGTCATCGGTATAGAAAACTTAAGGCGCTTACTCAACAGTTCTGCCTACGGTGGAAAGAAGAGTATTTAAAAAGTCTCCATAAACGCTATAAATGGAAATTTCCGCAGCGCGATGTACAAACGGACGATTTAGTCGTAATTCGACAAGAACAATTATCTCCAACATCGTGGAAATTAGGTCGGATAATCAATTTTTTTTCTCGTTTGTGTCGCCGACGTAAAAACTGAAAATGACATTGTGCGGCGTCCGGTGGTTAGGCTGGTCGCTTTGACCAATTAGATGTTTGTTTCCTTGCCATTTTTATTTTTTTTTTCTCGTAGCATTGAAAATCAAAATAAGATGGGCCCTAGTAGTCAAATCTGCAATTCGCTGGTCAAATCGTTGCGAATGCACTCCATTCCAGTCGGGTCCGACCGTTTTGCCCAATTCACACTGGTCTCGACGTTCGACTCCGCCCAACGATTGTCGGTATCCGCTCGGGTTACAAATTTAACCCATCGTGTGTCCCAAACCAATCTGCCTAGGAATCGATAAAGGAGCACTACCAAGGTATGATGCTAGCAGATCCGCAATTCTTTAAAGCGTCCCGAGACACAGTGGAGTTGGGTGCTGAAGTGTACCCTAAAGTAATGAAGACCCAGGTATACTCGAGCCCTGGATTCCCAAGGTCTCAACTTACCATCTTTAGATGGGTCTTGTCGGGTCCATGCCCAATGTGATTTCTTGCTGGGAGACTTTTGCCAGAAGAGCTCGCCCGTGCCGTATGACCGACGGTTAATTAATTTATTGCGCGGCAATGTTCCCCTTACTCTCCGAGCGCAATATTAAAACAAAGAAAAAAAAAGAATAATTAAATTGAAATTTGAAGTGTAAATAAGAAAAATTGTAAAATGAATTTATATTTTTGTATACTTAATTTGCATTGCAACATAGCAAGATGTTGCAAGGCTGGCCGCAACGTTTACACTAGAATATAATCATTTTAATGTTCATTCCGTTTTCAAATTGTAACGGACATTCTTGTACGACTGTGTGATATCTTTGCTACGCAAACAGTTGGGTTTTGGTAAATACATTTGTGGCTTTAGTAGACGAAGCTTTCTAAGCCACGCCCACCACTAGCCAGCCGGTGGAGGAGAGGAGTTTCCCTTTGAAGGTTTCTTCGCCTCAGGATGTGGTTCCTCCGTTGACCGTCCCCTCTTCATCGTTGGACGAGATGAGGGATTGGTCTCCTTTGGTTCCACCGAGGTCGCGGCTCCTTCGCGTTCCATCTTCTTTGTTCTTCGTGTCCTGCGCTTCTTTGTTTTTGTATCAGTGGAAGCAGCCTGGGCTTCTGTTGGTGGTGCAACAGCTGGTGCTGTTATTCCAACAACTGGACTTCCACACTCTTCAGAAGGTTTGTCCCCAACTGGAATCGCCTTCTTGACAGGTCGTTTAGGAGAGAGGCAAACTCCTTCTCAACGGAACACTTTGGCTATAGCGGATGATTCTTTTTTGGATTTCCGAATCGCTTTAAGGTTCGCCCTGGTTAGCGTTTTTTTTCTCTCTCCGTGACTTGGTGACTATGTACGTCGATAATGAAGCGGCACTGAAAGCTCTAAACTCCTCTACTATCAAGTCTAAGGTTGTTTTGCACTGTAGGAGATCACTGGAAAACGCTGGGTTGTCCATCAAGATCTGTTGACTTGATCAGCATAAAATTCTATGCCGATTTATGCTGTCTATGGAAATCACTCACAAATCACAAATGAAGTAAATTGATAAAAATTTACTCAAATGTGTATTATATCTATAGTACTTTTGGTATTGAAAATGGTAAATGAAAATAATGATACAATTTATTCAAATGTCTGTATGTCTGCAGGTCATTTAAGTCTACGTTTTGGTATAGCCCCCATATAACGGTACCTCCCGATATTCGGTATTTTGATGATATTAGCGACATTATTCGCCGGAATTGTTTCAAATTTGGTATATGAAGTTCGAAATGGATACTACAGTCTGTGACAGAAAATTGTCTGTGCAGGTCCACGTCTTCGTGTAGCCCCCGTATAACGGTACCCCCCGATATTCGGTATTTTGATGATTTTAGCGAAATTATTAACCGGAATTGTTTCAAATTTGGTATTTGAAGTTAGTAATAAATACTACAGCCTATGATAGAAATTTGTCTGTGTAGGTCCACGTCTTTGTATAGCCCCCATATAACGGTAACCGACATTATTTACCGGAATTGTTTCAAATTTCGTATTTAAAGTTCGTGATGTATTCTACAGCCTATGACAGAAAATTGTCTGTTCAGGTCCACGTCTTCGTATAGCCCTTATATAACGGTACCTCCCGATATATGGGCGGCCTCTGGGAAGCTGCGGTGAAAAGCATTAAAAACATCTTCGAAAACACGCTATAAACACTAAATATACTTTTGAATAGTTCTCTACGGTTATCTCGCGTATAGAAGCTTGTTTAAATTCTCAACCGCTTTGTTCGACGAGTGATAGTGTGGATAGTTATTTAGCTTTAACTCCAGGTCTTTTTTTGGTAGGATCTCCTATTTTATCCCCTCCGGAACCATTAATACAAGAATCTCCATTGCATATAGTCCATCGGTATAGAAAACTTAAGGTGCTTACTCAACAGTTCTGCCTACGGTGGAAAGAGTATTTAAAAAGTCTCCATAAACGCTATAAATGGAAATTTCCGCAGCGCGATATACAAACAGACGATTTAGTTGTAATTCGACAAGGACAATTATATCCAACATCGTGGAAATTAGGTCGGGTAATCAATGTTTTTCCGGGGTTCGTGTCGCCGACGTAAAAACTGAAAATGGCATTGTGCGGCGTCCGGTGGTTAAGGTGGTCGCTTTGAACAATTAGATGTTTGTTTTCTCGCCATTTTTATTTTTTTTCTCGTAGCATTGAAAATCAAAATAAGGTGGGCCCTAGTAGTCAAATCTGTAATTCGCTGGTCAAATCGTTGCGAATGCACTCCATTCCAGTCGGTTCCGACCGGTTTGCCCAATTCACACTGGTTTCGACTCCGCCCAACGATTGTCGGTATCCGCTCGGGTTACAAACCAATCTGCCTAGGAATCGATAAAGGAGCACTACCAAGGTATGATGCTAGCAGATCCGCAATTCTTTAAAGCGTCCCGAGACGCAGTGGAGTTGGGTGCTGAAGTGTACCCTAAAGTAATGAAGACCCAGGTATACTCGAGCCCTGGATTCCCAAGGTCTCAACTTACCATCTTTAGATGGGTCTTGTCGGGTCCATGCCCAATGTGATTTCTTGCTGGGAGACTTTTGCCAGAAGAGCTCGCCCGTGCCGTATGACCGACGGTTAATTAATTTATTGCGCGGCAATGTGCCCCTTGCTCTCCGAGCGCAATATTAAAACAAAGAAAAAAAAGAATAATTAAATTGAAATTTGAAGTGTAAATAAGAAAAATTGTAAAATGAATTTATATTTTTGTATACTTAATTTGCATTGCAACATAGCAAGATGTTGCAAGGCTGGCCGCAATGTTTACACTAGAATATAATCATTTTAATGTTCATTCCGTTTTCAAATTTGTAACGGACATTCTTGTACGACTGTGTGATATCTTTGCTACGCAAACAGTTGGGTTTTGGTAAATACATTTGTGGCTTTAGTAGACGAAGCTTTTTAAGCCACGTCCACCACTAGCCAGCCGGTGGAGAAGAGGAGTTTCCCTTTGAAGGTTTCTTCGCCTCAGGATGTGGTTCCTCCGTTGACCGTCCCCTCTTCATCGTTGGACGAGATGAGGGATTGGTCTCCTTTGGTTCCACCGAGGTCGCGGCTCCTTCGCGTTCCATCTTCTTTGTTCTTCGTGTCCTGCGCTTCTTTATTTTTGTATCGGTGGAAGCAGCCTGGGCTTCTGTTGGTGGTGCAACAGCTGGTGCTGTTATTCCAACAACTGGACTTCCACACTCTTCAGAAGGTTTGTCCCCAACTGGAATCGCCTTCTTGACAGGTCGTTTAGGAGAGAGGCAAACTCCTTCTCAACGGAACACTTTGGCTATAGCGGATGATTCTTTTTTGGATTTCCGAATCGCTTTAAGGTTCGCCCTGGTTAGCGTTTTTTTCTCTCTCCGTGACTTGATGACTATGCACGTCGATAGTGAAGCGGCACTGAAAGCTCTACACTCCTCTAGGATATCACTGGAAAACGCTGGGTTGTCCATTAAGTTCGAATGGGCGAGGCTACGATCCGAATCGACTTCCATTGAAGTTGAGAACTCGGTCAAACCACCCCTGCGTCACTTCCTACAGGTAATTCAAACACTACTCGGAGAGAATTCAACAAAAATGGCTGGACGAAAGGGGATGCAACATCTCCAAAAGAATCTGGCCCACACTCTCGGAGAAGAGAACAACGTCGCTACTGTCATTGTCTAAACCTGACTAAGAACTTGTGGTGGGTATCATCACAGATCACTGCAAGGTGTGGGCAATGACCTCAAAATGAGACAGCGATGACATTGATTACTGTAGAATATGTCAGGACGAAGAAGAAATTGAGACGATCGAACATCCTGTCTGCCACTGTCCAGCACTCATTGACGTGAAACACAGGTTCGTGGGGGAACAAGTGTCACACGATCTGTCTTCGTTTTCTAACACTGACCCTACAGTAATTCTTCAATTAGCCAGAAGATTTAAGTGGCTAAAGACGACACGGCAAGATCTGCCGTGAATCGTCTCATAACTATATATCAAACCACCAACACCTTACTTTTTATACCATCTACCATAGTATGGAGGGTATGTTAAGTTTGTCATTCTGTTTGTAACACCTCGAAATATACATTTTCAAATATAACAGACTGTAAACAACCCGCCTTCTTCAAAAAACCCTTAGTCTAGAGCGCACAACAGGTCTATACTGGCTTAAGTATATGCCCAACAGGGCATGCGGCGAATTGCAACCTAACCTAATAAAGTGTTAGAACGAGGCAGATTCGGTCAGTTATCTTATGGAATAAATAAAACGAATTTATTTATTATAAGTTTACGTCGCATTTAACTGTACAACATACCCAAAAACTTGACCAAATTTATACACCATCAAATTAATGGTGCTTCAATTGATGCAGTCAGTTGTTTTATGAGTAAAATTAATTTATTGCATATTTTATCAACAATTGGCCACAGAATTTTTGCTCTGCTTTCATTTTTATACCTTCCACCATAGTATGGTGGGTATATTAAGTTTGTCATTCCGTTTGTAACACCTCGAAATATACATTTTCAAATATAACAGACTGTAAACAACCCGCCTTCTTCAAAAAACCCTTAGTCTAGAGCGCACAACAGGCCTATACTGGCTTAAGTATATGCCCAACAGGGCATGCGGCGAATTGCTTCGACCCTCTTTTCAACCTAACCTAATAATGTGTTAGAACGAAGCACATTCGGTCAGTTATCTTATGGAATAAATAAAATGAATTTATTTATTATAAATTTACGTCGCATTTAACTGTACAAAACCAAAAACCAAATTTATAGACCATCAAATCAATGGTGCTTCAATTGATGCAGTCAGTTGTTTAATGAGTAAAATTAATTATTGCATATTTTATCAACATAGTCATAGATTTTTTTTTGCTCTGCTTTCGTTTTTATACCCTCCACCATAGTATGGTGGGTATATAAAGTTTATCATTCCGTTTGTAACACCTCGAAATATACTTGATCAGCATAAAATTCTATGTCGATTTAGCGATGTCCGTCCGTCTGTAGAAATCACTCTAGCTTCCGAACGAAATTAAGTAGATTGATAAAATTTTACTCAAATGTCTGTATGTCTGCAGGACTTTTGGTATTGAAAATTGACCATGTAAGTCTACGTTTTGGTATAGCCCCCATATAACGGTGCCTCCCGATATTCGGTATTTTGATATTAGCGACATTATTCGCCGGAGTTGTTTCAAATTTGGTATATGAAGTTCGAAATGGATACTACAGTCTGTGACAGAAAATTGTCTGTGCAGGTCCACGTCTTCGTGTAGCCCCCATAAAACGGTACCTCCCGATATTCGGTATTTTGATGATTTTAGCGAAATTATTAACCGGAATTGTTTCAAATTTGGTATTTGAAGTTCGTAATAAATACTACAGCCTATGACATAAATTTGTCTGTGTAGGTCCACGTCTTTGTATAGCCCCCATATAACGGTAACCGACATTATTTACCGGAATTGTTTCAAATTTCGTATTTAAAGTTCGTGATGTATTCTACAGCCTATGACAGAAAATTGTCTGTGCAGGTCCACGTCTTCGTATAGCCCTTATATAACGGTACCTCCCGATATATGGGCGGCCTCTGGGAAGCTGCGGTGAAAAGCATTAAAAACATTTTCGAAAATACGCTATAAACATTAAATATACTTTTGAATAGTTCTCTACGGTTATCTCGCGTATAGAAGCTTGTTTAAATTCTCAACCGCTTTGTTCGACGAGTGATAGTGTGGATAGTTATTTAGCTTTAACTCCAGGTCTTTTTTTGGTAGGATCTCCTATTTTATCCCCTCCGGAACCATTAATAGAAGAATCTCCATTGCATATCGTCCATCGGTATAGAAAACTTAAGGCGCTTACTCAACAGTTCTGCCTACGATGGAAAGAGTATTTAAAAAGTCTCCATAAACGCTATAAATGGAAATTTCCGCAGCGCCATATACAAACAGACGATTTAGTTGTAATTCGACAAGGACAATTATATCCAACATCGTGGAAATTAGGTCGGGTAATCAATGTTTTTCCGGGGTTCGTGTCGCCGACGTAAAAACTGAAAATGGCATTGTGCGGCGTCCGGTGGTTAAGGTGGTCGCTTTGACCAATTAGATGTTTGTTTCCTCGCCATTTTTATTTTTTTTCTCGTAGCATTGAAAATCAAAATAAGGTGGGCCCAAGTAGTCAAATCTGCAATTCGCTGGTCAAATCGTTGCGAATGCACTCCATTCCAGTCGGGTCCGACCGGTTTGCCCAATTCACACTGGTCTCGACGTTCGACTCCGCCCAACGATTGTCGGTATCCGCTCGGGTTACAAATTTAACCCATCGCGTGTCCCAAACCAATCTGCCTAGGAATCGATAAAGGAGCACTACCAAGGTATGATGCTAGCAGAGCCGCAATTCTTTAAAGCGTCCCGAGACGCAGTGGAGTTGGGTGCTGAAGTGTACCCTAAAGTAATGAAGACCCAGGTATACTCGAGCCCTGGATTCCCAAGGTCTCAACTTACCATCTTTAGATGGGTCTTGTCGGGTCCATGCCCAATGTGATTTCTTGCTGGGAGACTTTTGCCAGAAGAGCTCGCCCGTGCCGTATGACCGACGGTTAATTAATTTATTGCGCGGCAATGTGCCCCTTGCTCTCCGAGCGCAATATTAAAACAAAGAAAAAAAAAGAATAATTAAATTGAAATTTGAAGTGTAAATAAGAAAAATTGTAAAATGAATTTATATTTTTGTATACTTAATTTGCATTGCAACATAGCAAGATGTTGCAAGGCTGGCCGCAATGTTTACACTAGAATATAATCATTTTAATGTTCATTCCGTTTTCAAATTTGTAACGGACATTCTTGTACGACTGTGTGATATCTTTGCTACGCAAACAGTTGGGTTTTGGTAAATACATTTGTGGCTTTAGTAGACGAAGCTTTTTAAGCCACGTCCACCACTAGCCAGCCGGTGGAGAAGAGGAGTTTCCCTTTGAAGGTTTCTTCGCCTCAGGATGTGGTTCCTCCGTTGACCGTCCCCTCTTCATCGTTGGACGAGATGAGGGATTGGTCTCCTTTGGTTCCACCGAGGTCGCGGCTCCTTCGCGTTCCATCTTCTTTGTTCTTCGTGTCCTGCGCTTCTTTGTTTTTGTATCGGTGGAAGCAGCCTGGGCTTCTGTTGGTGGTGCAACAGCTGGTGCTGTTATTCCAACAACTGGACTTCCACACTCTTCAGAAGGTTTGTCCCCAACTGGAATCGCCTTCTTGACAGGTCGTTTAGGAGAGAGGCAAACTCCTTCTCAACGGAACACTTTGGCTATAGCGGATGATTCTTTTTTGGATTTCCGAATCGCTTTAAGGTTCGCCCTGGTTAGCGTTTTTTTCTCTCTCCGTGACTTGATGACTATGCACGTCGATAGTGAAGCGGCACTGAAAGCTCTAAACTCCTCTAGGATATCACTGGAAAACGCTGGGTTGTCCATTAAGTTCGAATGGGCGAGGCTACGATCCGAATCGACTTCCATTGAAGTTGAGAACTCGGTCAAACCACCCCTGCGTCACTTCCTACAGGTAATTCAAACACTACTCGGAGAGAATTCAACAAAAATGGCTGGACGAAAGGGGATGCAACATCTCCAAAAGAATCTGGCCCACACTCTCGGAGAAGAGAACAACGTCGCTACTGTCATTGTCTAAACCTGACTAAGAACTTGTGGTGGGTATCATCACAGATCACTGCAAGGTGTGGGCAATGACCTCAAAATGAGACAGCGATGACATTGATTACTGTAGAATATGTCAGGACGAAGAAGAAATTGAGACGATCGAACATCCTGTCTGCCACTGTCCAGCACTCATTGACCTGAAACACAGGTTCGTGGGGGAACAAGTGTCACACGATCTGTCTTCGTTTTCTAACACTGACCCTACAGTAATTCTTCAATTAGCCAGAAGATTTAAGTGGCTAAAGACGACACGGCAAGATCTGCCGTGAATCGTCTCATAACTATATATCAAACCACCAACACCTTACTTTTTATACCATCTACCATAGTATGGAGGGTATGTTAAGTTTGTCATTCTGTTTGTAA